AAAAAAGGAAACTTTAGATAAGTGTGGTCACGATGTATATAATGAAAGTATTAAGAAAAGTAGAATTCTTAGAAGCTCGTCAAAAAGTAAAGTAAGAAGGACCATTTTGAAAGGAACTGATAATCCTGAAAGATCGGCCAATTTTGATCTGGGCCTGGCTCAAGATACCTCAAAGTCGAGAATAAACGACCCTTCTACTTGTACAATTCCACCAAATTTACATACAAAACTTATAGATTTTGGAATGTCTATAGAACTTCGAAAGAATGAAGAGGCTGTCGCGGATTGCTGTGGCACTCCATTTTATATGGCACCTGAAGTTTTAAATGGAAAGTCGTACACACGACAATGCGATATTTGGAGTCTTGGAGTTATAATGTATCAACTATTATCAAATAAATTTCCCTTTGAATCACGAAACGACAAAAAGTTGGTGGAAGAGATAACCAATTACAAATTAGGTGAAAGACAGAGTGATTACAGCAATAATTTCAGTGGAATGGCTTTTGCATGCCTGTCTCATATGCTGAATTTAGATCCTATATATAGGTACTCGGCGTCCGAGTTACTGCTTGATTCTTGGTTCACTATGCGCAGTGACGATCACACCAACTGCATAGTTCCAGCTATGGATTTTGAATATGTCCCTCAGATAGCAAATATCGGTGGTTCCAAAAAGCTTATTGAATTGGGTCCTGCCACAAAGAGCCAAAATGATCCCTCGCTTTCAGGACATAGGACCAACGTAATGCTATTGATGAAGGAATTTCACAGAGAACTTTATCCAACTGACGCATCTCCACTCGAAAAAAATAAGAAATGAGTTTTTTGTGAGGAGCTCGTTCACTAAATCTCTTAGGAAAGAGCCCTTTTTGGAGTAAAGGATAATATATGATTCATTTCTCTTTATATGCTCTTTTCTAACTATCCTATCTTTGATTGAACTGGCCAGATTTTAAAAGTTGGCTTGTGCAGCTTTGGTGTGAAGCAACTCGCATAAAGGATTTTTTAACCAATTAGGCATGAAGATTGTTGGCTTCTTCCCTTTTTTATAGGATTAATCTGAAACTAAGTTAGACACATTTATTTATGATTATACCAAGGCTGAGATGCTCGAAAAGGAATTCCAGTATCTTTAGATTCAAATAGGATGGTAGGGGAACTTTGTGCTTGCTTTTTCAACCTAAGCTCAATCGCCTATGAGGGGCTTCATAATAGTATCTTCGGTTTAACTTGCCTTTCTATCCAGCAGCTATTTTGAAAGCGCCGTCTATGAATGTCAATCTTTCCCTTAGTAAGAATCCTTTAGCCGTCGTCATAGCTGAATCGTATTGGAGTTGACACGAGTGGACACGTGCTTCTTAGTAAACTTTGTGGATTACTTAAGTGTATATAGAGGCCATGTTAGTCAAATGGACAAGCAACTTCTGGAAGCTCGGAATGAGAATAGTTCGCCTTGGTTTGTTCAATATGATTTGTAGCTCGATGGATGAATTTTCCACGGTAATTTGATTAGACGTCTGTCGATGCAAATGAAGTGCTCACTTTTTCGTATCTCAGCAGCACATTTAACGGGTTTTGTAAACGGATTTATCTGTGTCAACAGACAGGGTTATCACTCTGATGGGTTGAGCTATCATCCATTATATGTT